TACGGGAAGGGGACGGAGTTCTCAAAACAAATGCCATGAAGTCCTGCCCTGCTGGGATCAGCAAGTGGCACTGGCAGAACGTACAAGAGACACACAAAAGAGTGGCAAGAGCTTTCTGTGACCAGTGCAGAGCGTTACCGTGCAAAGCCCCTCCAGGGGTGATTCTCACCTGTATTGCTTATATTTGATTTGGGTTTAGGTCTTTTTTTTGTGTTTTCTTTCATTTCATTGGTGATTTTCTTTTTTTCTTGTGTGCCTTTAGGCCAACATGACTGTGTGACCGTCATCAACAACTTCTTTCCACGGGAAAGGCTGGACTACTATACTAAACCACAAGGCTTGGATAAAGAACCAAAGCTGCCAGTAAAATTAGCTGGGCCTCTACACAAAATTATTACTACGACTAACATGCATCCTGTTAAGGTGGGGTAACACGTAACTCGTGTGTGTGTGTGTTGGCGTGGGAACTGTTTCTTCGTGTCAGAAAGTGTTCAGCTCCTCTGAGGGTCCAGCTGAGATCAAAAGTGTTATGCGTTAATTCAGATGCTTCTGAAAATGAGAGAGAATCAGGCTCAACATTTAGATGTGATTAAAAAATTAAGCTATTTCAGTGCTTATTTACACCAGATTGTTGAACTAACACCTTTAAGTGGAGAGATTCTTGTTTTTTACATTGATAACCATAAACAGCTTTCTTTTTTGGCTTTTTTTCCTAGCCCCACTTGAAGTGGAAACATAAACTCATTTCCTATCTTAACAAAATCTCATTGTTCTCTCAATGCTTGTCTCGGCATGTATCTTCCTGCCTTCATCCCTGATTCACCACAGTCACATCTACTGCTGCTGCTGTTTCTGACAGTATGGGCAAGAGACACGTATTTCCCAGCACATTTGCTGAAAATAATGTCTCTTATGGTTTATTCCTCCAGTGCAGTTTGGAGAAATTAATATACCTAAATTCAAAGACAAGTTCCTTGGGCTTGCCGTTATAAGGCAGGAATGTGTCAGGAGTTGCCAGGCGGGCATCTGCAGTACATACAAACAGTAGTGCACCGGTGGCAGCTGGTTTAGTGAGCAGAGTAATCGGTTTCCTCTTAAACTGGTTAGTTCGGTGCTTTACTGGTCTCCCTGAAGTACTCCGAGGCGGTGGTGTGTTCTGTGGAGCTGCTTAAATCATACAAGTCCAGTTTATTGTAGGTGCTCAAAAGGAAAGAGATTTTTAGGACAGTGTGTGGTAGTTTCTGTAACTGTTTTATTTGGAAATGGTTTTGATTCTTCAGGTTCTTATTCTGAACAAAATCCTTACTGCTTTTATAGCAGTCTGAACTTTAAATGTCTTGTCTGGGAACTGTGGATTACAGTATATAAAATAGTCATACTAAATAGTGACTGAGAAAAGAAGATGGAAGTAGAGAAATAGTAGAAACTGCACTGAAATTTAGCCACGATGAGCTATATAACCTGTATAAATGCTAAAGCACAAGTTTAAGAGTTCCTGATTGGCTCACATTGTCTTCAATCTTTCTCCTAGATTGTGATGCTGGTAAAAGAGAACCCTCTATTGGCCGAAGTAGAAGCACTGCAGAAATGTTACAGGGTTCTGGATCTGATTTGTGAGAAATGCATGAAGCAGAAAGATATGAATGAAGTACTGGCTATGAAAATGCACTACATCAGTTGCCTCTTCCAGAAATGCATTACGTTTTTAAAAGAGCGAGAGGATAAACTAGACGGATTTATCAAAAGGTACGTGTTTGTGCAGGGAGGGCTGAGGGCGCGTGTGCCGACCAGCTTCACAGACAACTGTAACGGCAGATTGGGCTGTCTTGGGTAAAGGCTGTGCCAAGTACGTTTTGAAATCATCCCAGCTGCAGTCACTTCAGGGCGGCACCGACTCCCTGTTTTCTGTCTGAAGTGGCATTGTCCTTTCCTGGGGTGCAAAGGAAACATTCCTAGAGTTTCTGCTCCCTGCTGGAACTGGTTAGAGCTTGGCAATCCCACAGACGCTGCGAAGCGGCAAAGAGCAACATGTGGTGGAGAAAAAGGGGAGTGATAGGCTTGAAAAGAGAATTTCCCAATGCCTGATAGGGATCATCTGGGAACGTTTCTCTTGCCGTTTTGCTCTCCGGCAGTCATACAGGGTGAGATTCTTTTCAAAAACACTGAAGCAACCGCAAACTGCAGATCCCACCGGCTCTGGGTGAGACTTGGACTCTTAAATCACTTAGACAGATCTTCAGAACCCACTTGGAGTTACAAAACCAGCAAACCAGCTGCCTGATCTTCAGTGCCAAAGCGGCCTGGCTTTTGGAAGGGTGACTTTCCCCCTAGACCTCCGTGGATTGCTGCGTGATACTGGAAATAAATTACAAAGTCGGCTTTCACGGTCTGAAATCAAACAGTTCATCAGTGATCCGCAGAAAAGAGTGGGAGCCAGCTAGAGACATGCAGAGGTGTCAGGGCTTTGACACGATATGGCACGTCAGTAGAGCAGAATTTGGATTTTAGGGGTGTGCCACCTTCAGCGTGGGGTTGTACAATGCTCATTTTTAAACACAACAAAGCATTTGCTGCTTTAGTCGGATGTAGGTACTAGTCTACCTGTAGATGTGTGGTTGAATTCGTAACTGGCACTTTCAGAGCGTGCATTTAGTTATTTTATATTTCGTAATGAATGTGCCTTAGAATAAAAATAATTTCATTTGCATTTTGAACACTTTTATGTATAAAGTTGCCAAATTATTTTGAATTCTAATTCTCCTCTATAATTTGAAAGAGGACAAGAGTACAGCGTGCTGTGTATTTGTTCTTGAACACTTACTGTGTGATTTCTTCTTTGATTTCAATTTAAAAAATTTAGTCTCCTGAAAGGGAGAGAGAAAGATGGTTTCCCTGTATATCAAGAGAAGCTAATTCGAGAAAGTATCCGAAAGTTCCCTTACTGTGAAGCTACGTTGCTCCAGCAGCTCGTGAGAAGTATTGCTCCTGTTGAAATAGTAAGTTTTTCCTACCAAGAAAATACTTCCTAAGCAACTTGCATGGTCAGTTCAGTTTAAGCTAAGCCATCTTTCTGTTTCTCAGCTTCTGCAGGGCGTTATATTAAGCAAAGGGTTTTGATGTCCCTGAACCCTCTGGCTAACTGGAATTTTATTTTACACGTTGCAGGAAAATGCTCTAAAATACTTTAATGAGGAGTTTTTTCCTGTGCCCATAATGAATGCTTAAATACCTCAGCTTTTTACAGACAATTGAATCGATTCGTTTCTCTGTCGGAGCTTTCTTTTCCTGCTCTGGGATGTCTGCTCGGGTTTTCTTTGCCAATTCACTTTTACAAATTGTAGATTCAGACACAGATGAAACTCATTTCACGCCCTTTTTTTTCCACAATGTCTAAACTCAATTTAAGATCGACTCATTTCCTAGATTTCATGCATTCGTTATTTCGGGCGTACACAGAAAGTTGGTAATACGTGGTGGTAGGAAGAGAAGAAACATTCTGTGAAGCTCCTTTTTTCACAGGGAGAGGCAAGATGATGCAGTACAGAGCAAAATGCGTATCTACGTTAGGAAATCAAAGTTACAAATAAAAAAATCTCCCTTCAGTTTTCTTCCTACGCCTTTGCTTACACACTCTTCGTTACAGCACTACTAATTAGTTCAGAGTAAATCTACACAAGAAATGCTGACTGTGCTTTTTTAAGAATGTCCGTTCTGGTCTCCGAGAGCTGTGTGCGCTAACGCTGGGGAAGTGGGACCATTTGTGATGTGCTTGGATTATGCTGAGTGAATCAAAAATAGCCTCCGTCTTAAGTGGCTCCGAGTCTAAAATGTCCTGAGGCTTCATGCAGCCCCCACTGTTTGTCCGAGCCAGGGAAACGAGCGCAGTGTGAAAACATCAGCCATCGCGCTGCATTAGGAGACGTTTTCCTTCCTGTCTTTTTTGTCGCAGGCTCTTCTGCCTTTAAACAAGTGCGGGTTGCTAAGGTGGGTCTCTGCGTTCCGCAGAACGGGAAGGGGGGAGATGCTGCACGTGTTGATTTGGCTGGAAGCCTTTGGCCTTCGGCGTGCCCGGTTGCTTGGAGTCAGGCTGGGCATCTCGGCGTTGTCGCAGCGGTACCGCTCGTGCATATGCCATGGAAGCTGAACAGTTTAAGGATTTACTTAGAGCTGGAGCAACTTGGCATTTTTTTTCCTCTAATGTTTTATGTCATTGCCCAAAAGAATAATCTTAATTTATGGTTATTGGTAAAATGCACTAAATCTCAGTGCTTGTATTGCATGGGAAAGATACTGCAAACGATATCCAGACAATAACATGCCAGTAATTGGTTTGAAGCTTTTGAGTTCTGACGACTTGGTCTGTAGCGCCTCAGCACGCTGAGCCCAACAGCGTGTCGGCGACTGTGAGACGCCTTTCTGTGCGCCAGGGCGGAGACGAGTCCGCTCGTACGAGCTACGGGCGGGTGACGGTGTGCAAAGAACACTGAGCTCCCTAATAGTGTTCCTCATAATTTACAGAGTAAAAACATGATAATTTTTATCCTCCCTTCTACAGAAGCTAAGGACGAAGTTGACTTAATACACAAAAAGGTATCTCACCGTATAAATGTTAAGCTGAGGGTGTTAGTTGGGGTTCTGTGGTTTAGTGCTCTGCTCTGGCTGCTCTGGCGTCTTCAGCGAGGCTGCGGTCGGCAGCTTGCGCGGCCGGGTTGGTTTTTCTCTGGTGCATTCCGCTTCAGGACGGTGTCGGGTTTTGATCCCTTTGCCACCTCTTGTCTTGCCTTTCAGGGCTCTGATCCAACAGCTTTCTCTGTCCTTACCCAAGCCATTACTGGCCAGGTGGGGTTTGTGGATGCCGAATTCTGTACGACTTGTGGGGGAAAGGGAGCAGACAAACGATGTTCAGTATGTAAAATGGTAAGAACCCATCAGTAGTCGTAACGAACCACAAAAACCAGCGCCACTGAGGTGCTGAGGGGTTTGAATGCTTCGCTGTGTAGCCGCCGTAGGGGGAATGGCGTGCACGCCGACACCAGCAGCGTGTCAGCCATCTACTTCTGGGAGAGATGCCTGAAACTCCCCAGTAGGAGCACTTGAATTTCCAAGTGCGTGTGTTTGTGAACAAAGAAAGAGCAAAATTTCTGTATGTTTGGAGTTAACAAAACAAACTGTTCTTTATAGATTTTTTATATAGCTTAGAATCACTCCATAGACCTTGCAAATGTCTTAAAAATACCATTAAGTATTATACATAGGGAGATTTAACTCAGTACACTAAGAAATGCAACAATATTGTATATTTTTTTAGTACACAAAGGTGAATTGATCCCTCTGGTAACTTCCAGGTGATGTACTGCGACCAGAACTGCCAGAAAATACACTGGTTTACCCACAAAAAAGTCTGCAAGACCCTGAAGGAAATTCACGAGAAACAAGAACTAGAAGCTGCCAAAGAAAAAAGGAAACAAGAAAAAAAGCAAAAGAAAGGTCAGGATCTAGAGTTCGCTTGCTGAAACTAGCGCTGCGTTAACGGCGCCACAAGGAGCAGCAGTAACAGGTCAGACAACCTGTTGTCAGAGGTTGAAAGAGAGGTTTGTTGTAACGCAAGGGCACACCTGCGGTTGCTGGAGTCCCCGTCTTCTGGTTTGCCGGTGCCGGGCGTGTTCTGAAGCCTGGTGTTTGGCGCCAGAGTGGCGCAGGTCTCTGCAGCTACAGCATCCTGAACTACGCCGCGCTGGTGCAAAATCCAGCCCGTGCAGAAGTTTCACGGTACTCTGCCTTCCGTGGGAGGCGTCAGGGTAATGAGTTTTGTTATTATCAAGTTGGATAATCGGCAAGCAGCCCGCTCCTCCCGGTTGCAAAGGTTAACGGGGGCGTTAACTCTCTGTCCTGCTTCCTCTTTCATAATCACAGTATCGAGTTAATCGCGTTGTATACTTTGCGTGTGAAGGAAGCGAGCGTTTGTCTTTACACTGTTCGTGTTTTTCTCCCTTCAGTAAGCAAATAATAACAGAAAAAACACCATATCACCACCCCCACCGCAGCTTACCCTGATACGATGTTTCTGCGAGTGAAATAATAGGAAAATTGGGGGTGAAACCACTTTTTTACAGCTCACTAGATTCCCCTTCCCTTGTTTTAAGGATGTGCACTGGACAAATCGCCCTTGTCTTACAAGGGAAGTATTCTTCACGTCAGCTGGACTCTAGAATCTAAAAGCAGGCTACAAATTAGTAATAAATTAGTAATTGCTAAAGTTTCCAATGGCTTCCTGTGGTGATGCCGTTACAACAAGCGTTGCTGGGGTTAACAGAGAGCATCTGTCATTCGTTAGTGTCCCCAGCCCCAACCGCTGGCACGTGGGATGAGGATGATGGTGGAGGCTGGAGGCAAGGACGCGGGAGGTCCCTGGGTGTGTCACACCCACGCAGCGAAGCGCAGCAAGCAGTGGGCAGGGCGCTGCCTCCCGTGGGGACAGACACGCTCGCCTGCAGGGGCCAAGCCGGTGGCCAGGGCCTGGCCTCTTCGGAGGGAGAGACAGGATCGCGGTGGATGGCTCTTCTCCCTCCCTCCACAGCAAGGGAAGCTCACATTTCGTTGCTGCCCTACCTACCCGTTAATCTTCATGAACTTCTTCAGATGCGTGGCCAACGCGCCGTAGACTTGATCAGATGGTGTGTTAGCAAGAGAGGGAATTCATCTTGGCTTCGGGTCACCTTGTGAGTGGTGCTGTAGCGAAGCCCTTCGTACCAACAGCAGTTTTATTTCAAAAAGCTAATAAACACCCCTAGAAATCCTCAACATCAGGAATAAAAAATAAACATAAAAATTAAAAAAAAAAAAAATCCACAGCTGCAACTACAAGTAAGAGTTTCAGAGCTTCCGCTGTACACAGGCGTGTGCTAAGGAAGTCTGTGCTTCAGCCTGTGCCGAAGGCGGTTGGCTCTGTAGCCAAAGGAGACCCTGGTGGGGCTGGGGCATGGTTTTAGCTGGCTGTCAATCATAACGGAGAACAAGAAGCCAAGATGAACTACTTCTAAAGGTGCCTGGGCTCCCAAATAGCCTTTCCCCTCTTCCTTTCCGGAATTGCCAGCACACAACCCCTACTTAGCAGAATCAGGGCAAAAAGTTATTTAACTTTTTTTTTTTTATTCTGTGAAAACATTGCTTGAAAAGTACAGGTGCGACAGCCGGTTCTGTTCCATGCAGCCAGGCCCTACATTTTAGGATGTCTCACTTCAACCAAAGTTCGTTGTGGTCAGCTGTTCATTAGCAAATAATTGCTTCAGTCTGCTGTATGCAAAAATGCTTCCTGTGTCACCACGTACGTGCCTCTCTGGGGTTTGGGGGGTGGGGTTGTTTTTTTTTTTTTGAAAAACAAAAAGCAAAACCCACCCGTACTCTTCTGTGTAACCGGCCTGCAGCCAGGCTTTGGCAAGCTGACTGCCAGCACAGCGTCAGTGAAGCGTGTTTGAACCGATCGTTAAAATAGCTGCAGTGCCCCGCTCTGCCCCTCTGTATTAAAAAGGAGCATGGCTCAATTGGAGGTAAATGAATGAGCTTTGAGTAGGGTTAGTTTCAGAGGAATCTTACGCCAACTTAAGCAGAACTCGAGTGTCTTAGATCTTGGTTAAATTAATCCCTTTTGTCAGGGATGGCAAGTTTCCTGGTGTTTATTCTTCTTGAAGAATAAAGCTGTTTCCTGGCCGATGAGTTCAGCGTTTTCTGACGATGCGATTTCTCTTCTGTTCAGATGAAGCGCGACTACTCGAGGGTCATTCTCCAAGCGAAGAGCAGCCAGACCCTGGCCCAGAAGCTACCAAAGAAGTGGATCCAAATGACGCTGCTGACCGCACGGAAGAACCTGAATTGACCAAAGCGACGGAGGCACTGGCCCTGCACCCTGAGGGTCCACTGGAAAGTGAGACTCGCTTGGCTGACATTGCTCTTCAAAAAATTCAGGATGCTGAGGAGTAAGAGGCGGGGTGGGAAGGGACAAGAGTTCTGGCTGTGGCCCTGCACCTCAGGGGTCCTGAAGTACTTTTGATGCTGACCACGTGTGAGTTCTTGCAGCACGGCTTATGCAAGACTCCCTTTGAAAGACAGCACGTCTGTGTTCCTCCTGAGTTGAAGTCCTGGCTAATCTGTCTAGAAATACTTCAGGTGCTGTTGTAGATTGTCCAAGTAGGTACTAACTATCTGATAAAGACTAGAGTGGCATAGACCCATCCGTACGTCTACCAGCGGTAAGCATAGTAAAAATCGATGAGTATCAGTGGTTAATCAGCCATTTGGTGAAAAAGAAAAAGCATTTGATTTGGATTATTCCTGTTTTCAGAACCTAAAATCTATTTTAATTGTGATTTAAATATGTTTTTCTGCAAGTCGACAGAACTGTAGTTAAAAGCATTGGAAACCCAACTGTGAAATGGCTTTTTTACACCACTTTACAAAGCTTTATCTGAAGGAATTCAGCAGCCGTTAAGCTTCTGAAGATACTTGTCGGAATTCTCAACTTTTCATGACATTGCTGTAACTATTTTTGACGAGTGAGTGCACAACATTACTGTCTATTTTGTGGCAATTTTATTAAATGATACTGCTGTTGCAGATGTCTCAAGCCGACTGTGAAATGTGTGTTTCAAGAGAATTATTTCACTATTGGTTTGGTCAAAAATATTCCAAGTTTATCAAAGTCTACTGAAGGGAAGACCAGAATGACTTAAAATATCTCGATTGACAAGAATAACGGTTTCTAACTCTCAGCTTTTAGGTAAGGATGCCGTTGGGCACACTGGGATGTTGCTTATGAATTACTTCATAAACAGAAAAGATGCTTAATATTGTTCACGCTGAACCTGGTCACAGTGAGATAGACGGGGAAATCCGTGTGTGTGTGTCGGTACAAGTGGGATTTCACTTGGTCTTTTGACTAAATGCCATTTCGGGAAAAAAGCTTCCCTTAACTGCGTTGGTGTCGCTCCCATTTCCTGCCGTGTCTCATGACGTCCGTGGGAACGCCACAACCAGAAGTACCGCTTGCTGCACGAGGGTGGCAAAGGTGGAGATTCTCTGCACCGCCCGATGAGTAGCTGGTGTTTTGTACAAGGCAATATCCTTCGACTTCGAGGAGTAGGAACCACCCTCATAACCGAGGAGAAGTACTATTAATTTTTTACTATTTAATATATTGAAAGGTTTTGTTTCCTGTTCTGAAAGCTGTAAGAGTGAGGATACGTCAGTACACCCGTGCAGGGGATGCACCTGTGTTTTCATTTCAAGGATTAGCAAACTGTGAGGAATAAAGGGAAGTTTTTTAAAAGCAGGGAGCGGTGTGGCAGTTGTGTTTACTGCATCTGTTCGTGCCCCTGGGGACACACGGTGACATTCCACATGCGTGGGCCTCCCGTAGTGCGGGTGCACAGGTTTAATTTCCCGACGGTTGGCGAGAGGTGCGTGCCTGGAACGTGGGTGTGGAGGCACGATGTGGTCACCGTCCGCTCTGGGATCTGGGGGTGCAGGAGTGTGGCTGGTTCTGGATTCCACACGTAGCACTTGGGGCTCAGGGGGATGCGTTGCTCTTCAAGGTCTCTTTGAAAACGCTAGCCCTTTAGGACAAATTATTTGGGATTTCAGAAGCGTGGTGAAATCCCCAGCACCAATCCTGCTTTTCCTGCCCAAGGAACAGGGGAAAGTAGGAACATTGGAAATAGGTGCAAGCGTGGGGTTGTTGACGCAGACAATGGAGTCGCGCTTGTTCTCATGGTCACGTGAAAAGGCAGAGGCGGCAGCGAGTCTCGGAGGAGAGCCACCGCGCTCCAGGTTAGGGTCCCGGGGCGCACTGGGGCTCCGGGGCTGCCTCCGCCTTCCTCGGCTTGAGCTGGGACAGCTCTTCCATGGGAAGGTCACGGCCGATAGGTCCTGCCTAAACCTGGGGTAATGACGAGCTCTGGCCCAATCGTGAATCAGGGGAAACATCTTGTGACATGTTACTTATAAGGAACTTAAAGTACTTAACAGTTACTCCTGTAAAATGTGTATGTTCTTTTCAAATTCTATATTCTTTGGGGAAAATGTTAAAAAAGATTCTGTAATAAAATTCTTTACGTTGAAATATTGCATTGCACATTCTTTGAGCAGAAAGCTGAACCAATTCTGCGCTTCACCTTAATTTTTCTTTACTCAAAAGAAGAGAGGGGCAGAAAAATATTCCAGGCCAGAAATACCATGCCTCTAATTTGATCCAAAATTTGAAATCAATGACATTTACTCTGAAATGACATTGCTTACGACCTTAGCCTAGCTTCAAGTTCCAAATGGGATCCAGTCTGCATTCGGAGAAAATCTCTTAAATTCAGCCTTTTTCATGTCTATTACAACATGTAAGATCTACAGATTCTGGGTCTGTGAAATTGCTGCTGGGCAATGATTACATCATAGACCATGTCCATGAGCGTAGTCAGCTGTCAGAGTGCAGAAGACTCAAGGCAAACTAGGGATTACGCTTACTGAATCCTAATGGACAGTCACTGAGAGGGGGCCTCTTTAGGAAAACATGACAGCCGAAGCTTCGTTTGGTCGAGCCTCTCTGTACACTGATTCGACCTGAGAAAGTCAACATTCCTGAAAGCCAACTGAAACCAAGGTCTTGAGCTACCTTTTGAAACCATAATTTCAGGTCACCTGCACAATGCATGGAACTTTAAGGAAGAAAAATAGGGAAGCTGAAATAAAAAGGGAAGGAATCTCACGTCCAAAGGGTGAAAGGAACTGGGAGATTTAACAAAGGCCCGTATCTGGGATGGGGTAATGCCAAGCAGCAGTACAGACCTGGGAGTCATGGTAGGCAGCAAGCTCACCGGGAGCCAGCAGGCCGCCCTGGCAGCACCCAAGGTACGTGGTGCCGTGCCACGGTGAAGGCGAAAGTGCAGTCCAGCCAGAAGATGGAAAACGTAACTATTCCCCTTGAGCTGGCAGTCGCGAGGGCACGTCTGGAACCCCGTGTCCCGTTTTTGGTCAACTCGGTTCGAGAGACACATCAAAAAACAAGAGAGGTCCAGCGAGGGTGCCAGCATGAGGATCAGAGGGCTGGAGGAATTTGGTTTGTTCAGCCCAGAGGAAAGAAGACGCGGGGAGGTCTCATCACAGGCTTACGATCCCCAGAGGTCGATGGGGATGCGCCGTGACAGGACAGCAAATAGCCCCCAGGCCCAAGCTGCTGCAAGTGGAATTCCAGCTGGATAGAAGACAAATGCTCTGGAGTGCAACTGAACACTCATCGAGAAGTGGTGGCGCCTCCCTGGAGCGGCACCTCCACTGGAAGCGTCTGACTTGCCTCGACAGGGCGCTGGGTAACCTCGTCTCAACCCTGCTCTCACCGGCAAGGTCGGACTAGACAAGCTCCAGAGCTCCCTGCCAACCTCGACCGTCCTGTGACTCTGCGCTAACTCAGGAGCGAAAGAAGGACCTCAGAAGAGAAGTCACAGGCTGAAGAAGGGCCCTGGTACGTCAGCCAGCACCGCCTTTAGGCCTTGGGCAGGATGGAAGGAGGAAGGTGAGGCAACGTGTTACTCCCCGCCCGTATGCGCATCCCCCACCAGCTTCCTTAGCGGGAGCGGGCTTGAGGAGCCGAAAGCGTCCGGTGTAGTGCCACAGCCCTGCGTCACCCACGCGGGTATGAGAGGGGGTGTCAGGCCCAGTCAGCAGTCCTGGGGCGGCGCAGGGGTTATGGCAAGTCCTGTCCCTCCAAAAGAAGCCTAAAACCTGCATCCTGGGAGAGTATCAGCAGCCGCAGGCAGCAGCTGGAGAGCGGCGTCCTTAAGGGCGTGGGGTTCCGCTGTGTGGGCGCCAAATGAGCATCCTCATAAAACGAAGAGTTTTCAGCGCGTTCCTGCAGCACACAAATCAGCAAATCGAAACTTGAATCCCTCTCAGAAATGAGAAAAGCTTCATGGTTGCTTTCTCCTATCTTTATTTTGATGGAGGAAGACCAGTTACTGCTAGTGAACACGGTAAGTCTAATTCTCCGGCAGAAACTACAAGGAATGAAAGCCTTTATCCTTACTTTCTGAAAAATTAACTTGCAGTTTAGCTTTAATCATTTCTCACAACAAAAGTAGAGCAAGAACTGCATTTCAAGCAACTTTTATTGTAACGTTGCCACTATTTATCATTTGTTTTCTTCTTCACCCTCCATATTACATATCTGATGATAAAAGGAACGTTACACCAACACTTTTTTTTGCTGGAAGTTCATTTAATTAGGTGCATGTTCCAGTGTACGTGTTTTATAGAGAGATGAACTTACATAACAGGCTTAGCACCACACTGGAGAGAGGAATGTGGTTTTTTCTGCAGGCAGGAAGCACTCATCTAAATCGGACTGTCAGCTTCTCATGGGGTTCTGCTGCTTTGTTTTCGAGCCGCCTTTCTTGGCAGGTGGCTACTTTGTTCCAGTCAACAGAGGAAAACTCCATTAGAGATCTTGCCATTGCCCGCAGCAAAACGGCATCTTCGGGGTTCTCAAAGGGCACCCTGCAAAACAACCAGCAAACGCCTGTTGCCCGGACGGCTCTGAACTGCAGCGAGCTCGGTCACCACGCAGCTCTGTGCAGAGGTGAAGTTACAAGTCATGATGACACTAGCAGCAGGATTTGAAAATGTTAATTTTTCAGAAGGTTTCCTTCTACCAAATTTAAGCAAGCAAAACAGAATGAGAAAAGGTCAGAATCGCAGGATGCCAAGGGAAAAAAATCATGCTATAAATTATTTAAAATACATTTAAAACACACACCAAACATAAACTATGTGACTGTTTCCAGCGAGTATAACACACTTTGTCACAGGCTCAGGTACCTTGCAAAGCCCAAGCACCTGCACAAGTAAGCTGGAGAGGAAGCTGTGCATCCACTGCATCAAAGCAGGAAAGAATTCACTTTTAATCATGAAATAGCTTGATGGTAAAGAGCTGTACTCAC